TCTAACGGAGAACACATGTCAACGGACATTTCTGTGGTGAGGAGACGTTTCTTACGCGTAAATTTACGATTTCAGACTTTGAGCAAAGATATCTCAACTTCTGGAGCACGTAGAGCAAAAGTAAAGACAGTTTTATTATGTAATATAAACCCAAGGAATCGATTAAGTCCCTCCAGAACTTCGTCAATTCAATCGTTATAGCCGAAATAAGAATTTAACCTACATTCAACTAAAGCCGGTGCGTAATTATACACGGTAGGCCGCGTTGCTTCGCGCTTGCACTTGGCTTCGCGACACTACCGTGTCGCTTGATTTCCATTTATGCAATTCATTGCGACGCAATTTAAACTTTTAAGTTTTTATTGATTAAACGAGTCCGCCTAGACGAGCGAAGTTCAATCGTAATTATACGGATTCCGCGTTCGAAAATAAATACCTGTAATATAGAGAACAATATGAGACAGCGTAATACAGAGAACTTTAAGTTTCTTCTATTATTACTATCAATACACTATTGATTATAACAGAAACGATGAAATTGTCCATCAAATTGCGTTTGTAACATATAGGCTGCAATAAGTAGCATGTATCTATAACGATTATCATCGATACACGAATTTAGAGAAATTGATTCATAATCGAACATTAAATATATATATCAAGCTGTATTTCCAATTTCACGTACATTTTCTTATAGTTTTATATCAATGTGCGCTTGCGACGCCCGCGATCCGCATTGCAAACGTGTAATGTGAAGCTGAAATTAATTGGCGAGAAAGAAAAGATTTTCGTAAGTAAAATATTATAAAGATTTCCGTATAGACTGCACCAATAGGAATGAACGTATATTATGTGTGCAACAAATTAATTACATTAAATCGATAATGCATTTTTTCGTTTAGTATAAACTCGTAAATAAAATAAAATAATTTTATCGATAAATTCAATAAAGTTCCAATTAACTGCATGCAGTACTAGCAGTGAAAATCGGACGTAGTCGTAATTATTAAATTTTATTGAATCTATTGATAAAATTGTTTTATTTTATTTACGATAAAATGGTTTTATTTTATAAACTATTTTTTGCAGACCTGTGCAATGATAGAAGAAGCTTGAAGTTCTCTATATTACAGCATGCTTACTGTACTTTATGTCATGTTGTTCTCTATAATACAGGTATTTATCTTCGAACGCAGAAAACGTATAATTACGATTGAACTTCGTCCGTCTATAACAGACTTGTATAATCAGTAAAACCTTAGTTAAACTAGTTTAACTAGTTTAACGTCACAATGAATTGCATAAATGGGGATAGTAAGAACGTCAAAGCGCGCGTGAGACCAATCATTATTGTAAAGTATGCACAACCATATTTCTATGCAAATGTGTAATTATGCGTTAACGTATATAACTCCTGTTTCTTGAGGTTCAACCGTGTTGTTTGATAGTTATTGGAAATATACTACGTCGGAGGCGAATAATCTCGTGCTGCTTGCTTCGCATGTTTTTTTATTGATTATAGTTATTGAATTGATTGTAGTTATTAGATGATTGTGCCTATGACATTTTTCGGCCCTAATAGAATTAACTCTACTCGATTTAACGTAAACACCCCTAGTGTTGTACTTGTCTACCCCGGTCTGTCTTAGTTCAGTTTAGTACAGTTTTCGTGCTTCGAAAAAGAATAACCTATTACGTTATGTTATTTGGTGTTTATTGGGAAGTGAGTTAATTCTTACATTTCTCGAGCTTATTTTATTTATAACTTTTTAATAAACAGTGTTCGTCGACTAAAACTGTTTAAAGGCTATTCAGGATATTAGCCTTGACAACACGTATCAAGCTCATCGACGAGGTAGCTCCAATAAGTAAATAATTATTCGTGTATCTCTTCAATTTACAAGTATTAATTCCTTTAGACTACTAACGAAAATTCTCTCAATCATCCTAGATTCTTGCTAAAAAAATAGAAATTTTCTATTAATGAATATTTTAAAAACAATCGTTGCGAGGCGAGTATGTCTCAAGCGATTTTACACAACCGATATGCAACTTATTAAAACCACACGAGATAATAATACAGGTGATGTTTTTCTATTTCTCGCTAAAGGTGCGGTCCCATGGCAGAGTTTTCGCGTAACGCGTAACGCGTATTGCGTAACCAATCAGAGGCGTTACGCGTTTCCTATTATGTGGACTCAATTTTCATATGTCCCAAAAGCGCAAAAAGGTAATTCATTGGTTACGTCAATTTTTAATGCGCTCTATGAGACATATGGAAATAATTTTGCGTAATGTAGCACATACAGATGTACTACCATATTACAGTTTTCAACAATGAATGAGCAGCTGTCATTATGTATTTTTGCTTTGCATAAAAAGATGTTACAAACAGTAATATCCCATATAGTACAAAAGTTTGAAAAAGATTTCAAAAAAATTTCAGGAAGATCTCAGAAAGGTTCAATGTTTCTGAAACTTTTCTGAAAGCTTTTTGAAACTTCTGTGCTGTATGGGATCTTTTGATCCCAAACATTAATGCTGCAATCCTAAGCAAATATACGAGTAAGGGTCGGTTGTTCTAACTTCTGGTAAGTTAACTGATAATTAAACCATATGTTTGTTTTTTTTCCTTTAATTTAGACAAAGACAGATATATGGTTTAACTATCAGTTAATTTACCAAAAAGTTGGGACAACTGATCCTAAACCGTAAAATCATAAAGTCGTAACTTATGAAAAAAACAAAAAAAAAATCGTAGATACCTAGATAGAAAAATGTGTTCATTCTGAGCTCATATTGTATTCATGTATCTTCAAGCATGAGGACAAGAATAGACACCGATGCGGGCTCATATGCGCCTCAGAATATAGACATGTTATGATGTCACAAAAATATCTTATTTAATAATAATAATCAACATCATGTCAAGAATTTGCAACATAATTTGTACGTCATTTGTGTGCATCTGATGCTCATGTCATGAGATCACGTAATGATCTTTAAAAAAGTATCAAATTGGAGTCATAGTATGAAGTCACATTGTGATGAAACATGATCATCACGCATTTCTATCTGGGTATTTACGGGTCATCATCCCAGGCAGCAACGTCACGTCATTTTCACGTCGATAAATGGTGATTACTAGTCCTAGACGTTATGTAACCAATAACTGACGTTTAAAGACGTGATTATTTTGACATGATAATAACGTCATTTAAAAACGTCTATAATACGTTTTTGAGAGGTCATTTTTAGTCAGGTGTTCGATAAGTAAAGAATGTAACAGATATTTACCTAATATTCATTTATATCAAATGTGGTTTATGTAATCAACAGATTATTTATACACGTTGTTATTTATTTTTTATATATTTGCATCTCAAGCATTTAACTCCTAGAAATAAGCCTTATAGAACTTGTCCTACCACCCCACAAAAACATGCACGTTACACCCACGTGGAATCCACGTGATTTCGTGGATTCCACGTGAACTCTATATGAATTCGATGTGAATTCGACTTACGTTTTTTCTTACTCACAAGCATTGCATCGTGGCAATTATCCAGTTGGTAGGATGTTCAAAGATGTATTATTGAGAAAATGTTGACTCAAAGATGAATAGAAGTTCATAGGGAATTCTCACAAATGTTAGTTGGTTCTGGGTTAATTTGTATATTTTTATATATATACATAAATTTAATAAATTTAATTAAATTTTATATGGTAAGGTGGATTTTTCTTTTATTAAATTATACTCTTTTATAATTACTCAAAGTTAATAGTCTTTTATGACTTTGTCTATTTAATAATACTTAACAATAAAAAAATCTTTACTATAAAAATTTAAAGAGAACCAAATGGAATGTGCGGGATTTTATAGACCTTACCTCATTAAAAAGAGCTGGAGTTTAATTTAACAATAAAGGTACAAAAAATATAATTTTTTTTTTATTAAAATTAAATCATTTTATTAAATCATATTATCAAAAAATTATATTACATTATGTTAAGTACAATACATATAGACAAAATATAAGACGTTTATATCGACCGAAGAAGTAGTGTAGTGTCTAAAGCAACAGACTCATAATTCAGAGATGTCTGATGGTTCAAGTTCGAGTCCCAATGCCAGTGAGAATTTTTAAAGTGATGTAACATTGAAATCAAGTAATCTAAAATTTTCTAGTAAAATCAGCAAACGTTGTGACATTTATACAAATAGTTTCTGTTAGAAAATAGAATCAAATAAGTATATTTCGACATGTCATTTTTACATCTTTTTATGACGTCACTTTTTATTATGACATCGGTGGGCTGTGACTTATTCCGGTAATTTCCACGTCATTATTACGTGATGTAGGAGATATGTGAGTCAGTGGGCGGGAAAAGATACACTGAATATTAAAATATTAACAAAGGCGTCTATTTGGTACGAGCGTTAGGCAGGCTCGCTACGTACACTCCAGTCTCTGGATAAAGACTGCCCCTTCTTCGCGTTCATAAAACAAAACACTCTCATGGCGCATGGATATACACTCGTCCCCGCTGGATAGCGCTACATTTGAATCTTTTTCGAGTCTATTACAACTTCGGACAAATTCTGACCTTAGATCGTTCTCGATCTCGTTATACAATTTGTTACAGTACCTTACTTCAACTCTGAACCAAAATTCTTAATTCTAAAATCTTATATCTAAATCTTACATGAGTTTCGTCGCACTTAATATTTATTCCTAATTTCTAGCTTAAGATAAGTTGTCATTACTATGGAATACAATATTACCCGTATTTCTGGAGTTTGGTTTTATCCACAATCGCATATTCCTTGATCCCAGACTCCTTGATACCTTTTTTGAGTATTCTGAAACCCTTCTATATCCGATACTAGATAACGATCGTTGCGCAATATTTTTTTGACAATGTAGGGTCCTTTATATTGTGAAATCAATTTCTTTGAAGCTCCGGCTGTGCTATCGAAATTACGTAACATAATAAAATCTCCTTCCTTATAGTTAACTGGTTTTTTATGTCTCTTATTAAAGTATCTTTCATTATACTGTTGCACATTATTTGTTTTACTTATCGCCTTTTTGTAACTCTATTTGCGTTCGATGCGGGATATGCTGCGAGTCGGTGCGGTCCGGATTCGTGGCAGATGTAATAAATTGTGAAAACAGTGGTATAGGTAATAATATAATATCTATTCTAACTGAAATGGCTATGTACAATGAGTATTTACAAGCGGTCTCGACGCCGTTGGTTTAATGGTCGAGTTTTTGTGCTCGCCGTGCGAGTCTGTTGATGTTTGCCGCTGACGATTCGGTAATGCCGGAGCCGTTGGCGGCCGCGGGATGCGGTCGGTGTTGTGATGCGTCGATTGTCTCACGCTCGCGACGAGATGTTTACACTCGATCTTTAATTCCTGTCGCGGCGAGATCCGTTATTCGGCGAGAGCAATAATGCTCTGAATGCGTTATGCGGCTGTGACTCCCGACGAGTCGGAGTTCGTCGGGCGGTCGAGCGGTGATATCGGAGGTGACGCGTAGGTCGGTCCTACGGGTCGACGGCGCGGTGTCGAGGAGGTCGCCTCTACGTATTTAACGCGTCAACGAAGCGGTAACTAGGAGATAGACTTTACATATCCAATAAGTCTACGAGAATGTCGACTCTATGAATCCAACGAGTCGGCGGAACGGTAACGAGGAAGTTGACTCTACATATCCAACGAGTCGGTGACAAGGATGTAGACTTTACGTATCTAATAAGTCTACGAGGATATCGACTCTACGAATCCAACGAGTCAACGGAGTGGTATCGAGGAGAATCTAGGAGGCAGTGCTTTTGGCAGCGGTATTCGAGAGGATCTTCTTCTGTTGGAGCCTTGGCTCTGTTCAGCGGAATGCCTCAGAAGACTTCGGTATGCTTCGGTGTTATTGATTTTCGCGGTCGGTCGGCGGTGTTTACATTTGTTGTTTATGTATTACATTTTTAGCGAACCGTTAGCTTTAAGTTTGCCTATGTTTGTTACTGTGTGATTGGACGGATCGTTACATCAGCCCCCCCCTCTCACCGGTTTCTAAGTGCGTGTCCCGGGCACTTTTTAATTGCGTCAGATGGCTAAAAATCTACGCGCCAGATTTCTCCGTTTACATATTTATGGTATTTTAACATGTCGCGTACCGCGGTAAGTCGAATGTTTGTCCGTTTGCTGGTTCCCAGTTTTCCAGCCAGTCTAACAATTCCTTGTTGAATTCCATGTCTGGTATCTGTTCTCTGGCTGCGATCTGATCTCGTATGCGAGAGCTAGAGTGATCCTTTTATTCCAGCTCCGCTTCTTTTATCCGAGCTTGTTATCCCTTCCTCCTTTCTTGGAGACGACTTTGTCTCCCTCTTTTCCTTTTTGGAGCGTCTTAGTTCTAGCGCCGTCAAGACTGGCGCTGGTGATGGTCGTTGGTTGACCATCGTTGCTGGAGATCGCCCGGAGGGCGCCGAGTCGTCTCCGGCATGCCCTGGTAGATCCAGTTAAACCTTTCGGGCGAACTTGAGTTCTCCCGTTGGGTGGAACCGGAACCGCCAGAGCTCACCGTCCACGTAGCGGCGGTATCTCCGTGCCACGTGGACTGCGTGGTAGGGCACTTCTACCTTTCTGTCCTTGCCGATGGAGATGCTGATCGGTGGCTGATCGCTGCCTGTAAGCTGTTGGCTGGTTGTTGATGCCTGTCGCCGTTCCAGCCGAGCCCGTTGCTCCGGTTTCAGCATTGTGTCTGCAATGATTTTTATTATTGGCACGTTTTTCGGCTGGCTATTCCCAGAGGGCGACGAGTCGTCTCCGGGTATTCTGCCCCAGGTGACTGGCCGGAACCGTCGATGATGTTTTGGTGGTATGGGCTTAACTTTCTCACCTATGAGAATTTTTAGTTTCTTCTCCGCAACCCTTGCGGATGGAGGCTGTCGTGTGCATGCAGTTGCGGATTTCCGTTCCGATACGTCTACCGGTGACCGTTTTCCTGGTGGCAACAGCGGTTTCCCGAGCGAAGATCCGTGTCTTTGCTCCGCTGGAGGCAGTGGAGGCAGCAGGCTATCCCACAGAGCCTGGGCCTCCTCCTCACTCCACGTCGTTAGCAGTGTCTCGATTGTGTGGTCGATATTCAGATCTTCCATGATGTTAACTGTGATTCGTTACTTGTGCTCCTTTTATACCTGTTTGGTCTATTTATTCCTCTGTAATTGTATCGTCGTGTCTGTTGTTCCTTGTCTCGGTGTTGCCAGTTTTTATGTCGTGGACGTGAACTTGTCTAAACCACTTCTTGTGTTCGTCTTGTAAATCGACGATAACCGGCGAAATGATTTGTTTCACGACCATTGGCCCTATGTATTTAGGTGCCAGTTTCACATTTATGGCTTTTTCTTTGTTGGAGAGCATATGGTTCTTTTTCCACACGATGTCTCCTATCTTTGGTTTCCACTCTTTTCTCCTGAGATTGTAGTGTTCTTCCTGTTTCTGAAATGATCTAGCCATATTGATGCGAACGAGCTCTTTGGCTGCCTTTAATTTTTGCTGTAGCTCGCTTGGAGTTTGTGAGCTTTCTTGCTCTTTCTCTCAAGTACGTGTTGTCCTGATAGCTCTTTTCCTGTATTCAGGTAAGCAGGTGAAAAATCTGTACTATCATTCTTTGCAGTGTTAAACGCAAACTTGATTTGGCTCAAATGTACGTCTCAATTTCGGTGATTGTTTCCCATGTATTGTGCAATCATAGTCTTCAATGTGCGGTTTGATCGTTCTACCGGATTGCACTGTGGTGTCCATATTGGTGTAAGGTGCTGTTTTATTTCTAGCGCTTGCGTTAATTTCCTCATATCTCCTGATTTGAATTGTGTTCCGTTATCGGAGACAAGAGTATTAGGACAACCGTATCTATAAACAATTTCTTCTGTTATTGTCTGGGAAACAGCTGTTGCAGTTGCCTTTCTCAGTGGTTTAACTTTGAGCCACTTTGTATATCTGTCTTTCATTGTAAGCACCCATGTATACCCTTTATTGGATCTAGGCAGTGGTCCAATCAAATCTATCGATACCTAATCCCACGGTTGTTGCACATTCGTTGCGTGCATTTGTCCCAATGGTTGCGCCTGCAATGTTTTATGCCCTAGACAGTTTTTGCATTTCCGAACATATCGACTTATGTCGACTTGAACACAACCGGCCAGTAATATAGTCATGCTATTCAACTTATAGTCTTTGCTATCCCGAGGTATCCTGCCGTCGTCATGGTATGCCTGCAGGATATGTGGTCTTTTTTCTTGTGGTATGCATCTTTTCTATTGTTCCCTGTGTCGTGCCCGTGTTGCCGGGACACGAAGAAAAAGTTCGAGATCGGTGATGCGGGCGCGGCAGGGTGTGTGGCGGTGGATAAAAATGTAGTAAAGATTTATACTACTTCTTGTAGTATTATATATAAAAAGGTTTATTTGATAAATACACTTGTATGTGTTTTAGTTACTACTCCCGTACTTATGATTAATGTGCGAACCGCGCGTAAGTCACGTATGACGCGTATGTCGCGGCGAGAAACCGAGAAGTTAAGTCTTATCCGGACGGTCTTCTCCGCTCTTTTATAATATTGTTTTAGGCTTGTCGGAGGGGGTGCCTGGCAACAAGCACATTACCATATTTGGTAATGGTGTAATGCGTTTTGAATTGAGGTCCTAAATGCGGAATGTGCAAGGTGGTGCTTATCGTCGCACTTGCACATCCGCTTCCTTGTTGTGGCGCAATCGAAACAATTCCTCGAGAAGTGTTTCGAAAGCGCTGGTACTATTCGCGATTATAACATCCCTCCCCCCTTGGGAAAAGAAAACGGAGTGTCTAGCGAGGTTTTCGCATTCTTATTCTACATACATTTTTTCCTTTGTTTCCGTTTACAATTATGGTTATAATCGTTTGTACTCGTTATATTTTATTATATTGTACTTGTGTTACAAATTTGTTTTCCCGTATATAAATGTAATTACAATCGTGTATTGTTTATATCTTATTCGCATAAGCTGTGTCTGCGTGCTAGTGCAGGGATTGTGGGTATTATCGGTTTAGCACGTATTCTCGTATTTCGCTGACTGTTTCGTTCTATTATTACTGGTGGGTCTGCTTTCTGTTTTATTTTTCTTATTACAATTATTACCAATATAATTACTACTATTATCGTTATTCCGCTTGATGCTGTAGTATAAATTATATATTTGTATTATATTTTTGTAATGTGTCCAGGAGTTTGATCTATTTTCTAAATTATAATACGTTTGTGTTATTTTATTACTGAGTTCCGCTAGTTCCGACGGATTTTGTATTATTTTGTTCGGTTTTACATGTAGTATTTCGTTTTTATGTTTAATTGTGTTTATGTGTTCTTGTTCTAATGTTATGTTGTATTCTGGTATGTGTGTTTGTATTAACGTGTTTTCTATAGTACCTTGTGCTTGTAATATAATATCCTCTACTGTTAATTTGCATTGCTTTTTAATGTTTATTAGTCCCGTTTTGTTAATTTTTCTGTAATATATTTGGTCGCGACATTGGATGTGAGCGGTTTGCTCGCTGCTCGTGGAATATAGCCATGCGTTCTTTTGTGTTAGCGCGATGATAAACGTGTGATTTGCCGAGATATATTTTTTCTGGCAATTTGTTATACTTTTTAACGTTGTATACATTAGAATTTCGCACGGTGATTCTTTATTGATTCTGAATATTGCGTTTCTTTGCGGACAAGTATAATGGTTCCTGTATTTTATGCATTCAGCTAATTCGTTTTCGCGTAATATTATATATGTATTTGTTTCCTGACTAACCGCGATTTTAGTGTGTGTGACTTCAGTTAAAGCAAAAATATTGTCGTGACTGTGTACAGGAAACGGGTGTACATGGATTATTTCGTATGTTGGATAATCTATGAGAGGTAAGTTTAATATAGTGAAAATATTTTTGTCTTTATAATACGCGCTGATTGTGCAGAATTTTTCTATCTCTACCCAGTTCTCTTTTCTAGGTGTAAACGGGAAATGTGTGCCTTTTGGTACGTGTATGGATATTTCCTGTAGCTGAGATATGATACTGTCTATTGGTGTTAATCTTGTCGGTAAGTTTCCTGATTTTATTTTATCTAAATAGTAAATTATGTCGTCCTGGTCACGTATTAGATCATCCAGTAAAACGTTTAGTATCGTAAAATGTTCGTCTATTTGTTGTCTTAATGTGAGTCCAACTTCACCTGTATAGAGTTGTGTTATACTATTCCATATTATTTTTTCGTTAGTTTCTAAAGTTTTTTCGAGGTTATCAAGGTTGTGGACTGTTGTATTAATGATTTTTAATTGATTTGCCACTGCGTGTTGTAAGGTCTCCTGTTTATTTTGTAATAAGTCTATTTGTTCGGTTATTATTTTCTCGTCGTTTGCGTCCATTACGCCAAACAATGATTTTGCTATTGTGCTTATTCCGTTTATTATTCCTCGTTTTGCGTATGTAGGAATTTTGTACATACTGTGTATGAGTTCCGTCATGTTCTGTATACTGTCAAGGTTTTTCTGTACTACTTCACGTAGATTATCGCATATTTGCCATATGGTACTTGTCTTCTTTTGTTGATTGCAAATTCTTTCCGCGCTGTCGAGGTATCCTTGTATTTGATTTCGTCTAACATCTATTGAATGTATATCCATTTTGATGACGGTTTTCCATGTTGAAACTATTTGGTGTAATCGTCCTTGTGTGTCATAATACACACCAGGTGTGTGTAAGAATTCGTTGATTTCGAATGGGATTTCTGCTTGCAACCCATTTGTCCCGAGGCTGGTACTCCTTATCAGGCTGAATGCCCTGTAAGTACATTGGGTCGGGTGTTTAGATAAATATGATCCCCTTTTCTTGTTCTGATCGTATTTCGTGTGGGGTAAAAATGCCTCCTTCTTTCTTTATTTCTAAGTTGTTTGTTTGCGTGGGGGGAACCTCTTGTTTAGCTTTATTTAGCTCTGTTAGTCTTATTCAGGATGTCGCCCGCTCGCATGTCCTGTCCCGCGTGCTTAGTGGTAGTGTCATTTGTGTTTTGTGATTTTTTCTTTTTTGTGTATAGCTTTGTGGTGTAGTGTTTTTATATTTTGTTTGTTTATTTCTCCAGTGGGATTATCCATCGTGCTCGGGATATTTCTTCCCCACAGAAATTGCACCCACGGTGCCCTTTTCGCCGCCTGTTGTGTTAAATGGTGAGGAGGCGCGCCGCCTTCCGCCAGAATCTGAGTATGCTGCGGGTGCACGTCGGCCTGTATGAAGTTAGCCCCCCACTTTTCGAATTTATTAATTTTGACAGTTGTGCTGATTTGTACTAGGTTTGTGCTACATTGTGCTCGAATTATAAATTTTTAATACGAAAAATGAGCGAGAAAAATGGAAAAAACCGTTTTTTTTGGTAGCCCCCCACTTTTTGATTTTCGAAATTTTTTTTATTGTGCTAAGTTGTGCTAAGTTGTGCTAACATTGTGCTAAAGTATTATCTTCGAAAAATAATCATAAAAGGAATAAAACGAAAAAAACGATTTTAGGCAGAAAAGAAGAAAAGTAAGATTTATATTCGTATAAGTCAACCATACAATATATAATTATATATCTGA